TTGGAAGGTGCAGGGGGCGTTGGTTAGTCCAAAGGGCATAACCAGGTACTCGTAGTGGCCGGAGTGTGTTTTGAAGGCGGTCTTATACACATCGTCCGGCAACATTCTTATTTGGTGAAAGCCAGAGCGAAGATCAAGCTTGGAGAAGACTTTAGCGGCGCCAAGCTCATCGAGTAGGTCTTCGAGAAGCGGTATTGGGTACTTGTCTTTGATAGTTTGCTTATTCAAGCCCCTGAAATCCACACAGAGACGCCAAGTACCATCCTTCTTCTTGACTAACACAATTGGAGAAGCATAAGGGCTGGAGCTGCACTGTATTATTCCCTGTGTCAGCATCTCTTCAATCATCCCCTCAATGGCGTCCTTTTGAAGAGATGAGTAACGATAGGGTCGTAAATTGATTGGGTTGGCCCCTGCTTCCACTGGGATCCTATGATCAAAGCCGTCACGAAAAGGAGGGAGTTCAGTGGGTTCCTCAAACAGCATTGAGTACTCCGCAAGTAAGTGCTCCAACGCTGGGTCTCCAGCCATGTTGTTGCCGACAGTAGAGATGTGAGAGAGCAAGGAGTGTGGTTGTAATTGCTCCTGATGCTCGTCTGTGATCTCCCGGACCTGCAAGAGAGCAACTTGAGGCTGTGCCAACATGAGCTTGTTGAGAGTACCACCGTTAACAACTTTGCATCCGTTTTTGGTGACACCACGGAGGACATTCTTGACTCCGTTGAGTGTGAACTCCATACGAGGGTTAAGGAAATCCCATAAGATTGGACCAAGTGTTGAGAGCCATTGTACAACAAGCACGAGGTCACAGCAGTCTAGAGGGAGGGTACGGACTTCGGCGGAGTATTTGTAGCCTTGGACTCCCCAAGTGAAATCTCTGCATTTGAATGCAGTAGTGATGACGCTTCCACAAGCAGCAGTGACTGGCATTGGTTTAATAGCTTCCAAAAGACAACCAATTTCATTGGCGATCTTAAGGTCGACGAAGTTATGAGTACTGCCGTTGTCAATGAGGATGTAGAGCTTATGTTTGCCACTGTAACCGATTACTCTCATACAGTTGAAAGTTGAGGAGCCACTCAAAGCGTTAACAGAGATTATTGGTGTCTTCTCCTCTGGGTCAATGTTATCAGTGGGTGAAAGAGCCATAGTGAGATCTTCTTCTGCGTCAGAAAGCTCACACTCATCATCATCACATTCCATAACAAAGATGTGTGAACGCTTGTGCTTTAGATGGTGTCCCGGTGAGTAGGCTTCCTCGCAAAACATACACAAGCCTTTAGCGCGGCGTTCTTGCATTTCTTGGTAAGAGTATTTGCGGGTGGGTTTGGGAGGGTTGGTATTAGGGGGAAAGGTTGGTTTTTGGGTTTTTTGTGGTTCACTGGTTTGTGGTGTGGGTGAGGGTGTAGGTTTGGGTTGGTGACGGGGGGTAGTAAAGGCATTGAAGGGAGCTCTAGAATGTCGTTGAGGTGTGTGGGATAAGGAGGATTCATGGAGCATAGCTATTTTGGCAGCGTCGGCGAGGGTGGTTGGGTTGAACTGACGGGTGTGTAAGGAAAGGTGGGGATTCATATTGGCAAGGAAAATGCTAAGCGCATGAGCTTCAGGGATGACCAGGCCGATGCGAGCCGTTTCAAACTTGTCTAAGTAGACAGGTATGGAGTCAGAGTCTTGTTTCAGGATGACTAAGTCAGCTAGAGGGTCAAAGTAAAGCTCGCTGAAACGGGAGGAGATGGCTACAACGTACTCGGACCAGGAAGGGAAGAGGCCATACCTAGTACTCATGTAGTTGTGATGCCATTCTGAGGCTTTGCCGGTGAGGTGCATCGCAGCCAGACGCGTTTTCAGCTCAAGAGGAGTGCTGTCGATGTCGAAGAACTGCTCACACTTGGAAAGCCAGTCCCGGAGGTTTGTTCCGTCGAAAGGTGGAAACTTTATCCGCGTGAGGCGTGAAGAGAGGCCGCCGTTGTCGTATTTGTGGTGGGGGGTTGGTAGATCTGGTGGTTCGGGGGGTTGGGGTGGGGTGTGGTGGTGGGTGTTTGGGGCGGGTGTGTGGTGAGGGGTGATAGGGTTTGAAGGGCCAGGGTCCATGGGTGATTTACCGGTCGCTTGAAGTGAGGAAGCGTTCTGGAACATTAAAGCTTCGAGTCGGTCAAAACGGGAATCGAGGGAGTCCGCTCGAGACTTGAGTTCAGCGGCGAGGACGTCGTGTAAGGAGCGTAACTCGTCAACCTGCTCAGTCAAGGAGCGTTCCTGAAGTCGGGTCTCCACCATGGTTACAGCGCCGAGGATCGAAAGAATCTGATACCAATGAAACAGTATTAGTAAAGATAGATAAACCCTAACTAGGAGACTCCCCGTGAGCTCTAAGAAAGGGGAAATCAAGACTAGGAGGAGGTCACGAGAGTAGAAGGACCACCTCTAAGAGCTAGATTCCGTGATGGAGGAAGGTGACGATGAACAGAGAGATTGGTAAAGGTTTAGATAAAGTTTTTCATAAAAAACAAGAGAGCACAAAGGCCAGTACATAAAGGGAAAATACGGTTGGTCCACACTTGACCATAAACCGGAAATGGAAACTAAAGTTGAACCGGGTTTAACATAACCGGGTTTTATTTGAAAAACAGAGCCTTAACGGCTAGAAGATAAGTAGCAGGGGATTCCTGTTACAAAGTCCGCCAGAAAAAAGCATCAAATCTGAGAGACGAAAAGGAGAGACGCGAGACAAACTTATAAATTTAGCATTTACAGGTTTAATTTCGTCGATTCAAAAACAGAGACAAATTGTCTACGGAGATGGTCGAAATCAAAGGGGGCTGTGCGGAGGAGATGAAGGAATTGAGGGGGGCTATGACGGAAGAGATGTTGTCGGAGTGGAATAGGGGTGATGGCTACTCTCGATTGGAGATTTCTTCTTTGTCGATGTCGTGAGAGAGAGACCCCGACAAATCCATTTTCTTTTTTTTTGTTCCTTTTTTTTTATCTCTTTTATGATTTTTTTTCGATGGAAAAATATAGAAGGGTGTTATTTGTAAATTTGCTTGTATTTCATCTCAGTCTAGTATTTAAAATTTTATATGAGTCATTCTAATCATTCTAAGATAAATTAGAGTCATTCCAAGTAATTTCTCACAAAATAATTCTACCTTAGGAAGAAATCTGACGATTTAAACAAATCTGCTACCACTTTTATGATAGATTATATTTTCTTAGCCGATTTATAAAACAGACTTAATGTGCGACAGATTTATTTTTTCGAAAACAAATCGGCCGACGTCCTAATTTGATGGGTACTTTGGTCATTAATTTTTTTTGTTATAACTATAGTGAAGGATAATTTTGACCAGAAAAACATTCTAATAATTTTGAAAAAATATGAGTCATTCTAGTAATAACACCATTAATTTGAGTCATTCTAAAAATTTTCCCTTATATATTTTGACAACTTCTTTTAAACTTATATAAGTTTTAGATTGAAGAAACACATTGTTAGGATGAAAAGAAACATTTTACATTTACACATTTTAAATAATATAATTATTAAAATAAAAAGACATAGTTGAAGATGAAAATATATATTTTGATAAAGTATTTTCAATCAGTTCAACTTTTAAGATGAAAAGAAACATTTAAAAATGAAAAGACACAATGTTTACCATTTGTTTGGCTTTCAGAGTATATGTCATTATAAGATAGTACATTTATAATTATGAATATACACACCATTAAATAAGAAAACACTCAATTATTGAGACATTTTAACAAACTATTATTAATTAATTGGTCTTTTATAATGAGAAGAGATCACTCTTAAAACTAAAAATTATAGAAAACATTTATTGACTGAGATATTTTTAATTACTTTTAAGCTTTTATAGTAGTTTCTTGTTGAGAAAACAAAACTAGTCTCAGTTTTAAATGAAAATATACATTTCGTATAAAGAGAAAGCACAACTCCTAAATTAATAAATACACTTATTAAGATTTTATAGTTACCTTTTGAAAATTATAATAGTTGCATGTTGAGAAAATGTAGAAAGACAGTTCTTGAGATATTTTTTATTACTTTTTAAACCTTTTCAACAGTTGCATATTTGAAAAACAAAACTATCTCAGTTTTTATAAAAATTCACAATTTTTATAATGTGAAGACACAACTTTTAAAATTCATAGTTGTAAAAAGACACTTATTAAGATATTATAACTACTTTAACCAAAAATAAAATAGTTGTATGTTGAAAAAACTAAAACAAAACTAATCTCAACTTCTTATTAAAAGACACAACTCTTTAAATTAAATAGGCTTCCTATTATTAATAGATTGTAAGAATAACTTGTCTTTATAAGGAGAATACATAATTTTTAAAACCAATAATTGTCTAAAGTTGTTCCTAGAATATTTTCTTAAAAAATTCATATACTTGACCTATTTATAGTTTTTTAAAGTTATATATGAAGGATCACAATAAGTAATTATTTGAACATATTTTTTTTACAGTATGTTTTAAAGAGACACATCATTACAAATATAAAAAGACACTTATTGCATATTCAATAGTTTCATATTGAAAAGACAAAATATTTTAACATTAATTGAGATTGTATATTGAAAAGACACAATCTTTCAACATTAAATAGAATTACAATTATTAATAGATATTTACCAACCAAATTTAGAATCTTTTTTTTCATTTTAATTACTTTCTATCATGCTCATTTTTATATATTTATTAATTAATATATGCATCATTTTGAGTTTTACCAATGAAATAATAGTAATCTAAGTTGTTACAAAAAATCAATCTAATTGTTTTATGTTAGAATATAATATTATAAATATATCCAACGCATGCAGTATCTTCACGTTCGCTAGAATATAATCTATTTTTATTTTTCTTTATTTACGAAAGAAATCAGACACTATATAATCATCCAATTAGGATTCACGATCTCATTCTCATCACAAAACTTTGGCCATTGATAAATAATATTTTCAAATAATGGAACCAAACCACAAAGTTTTTCCTGTTGGATTCAGGTTTCGTCCAACAGATTGTGAGATTTCAAAATATTTCTTGACAAGAAAAGCTCTGGAACAACCGATGATAACTCTCACTGTACCTGAAGAGTGTCATGATATCTTCTCAAGACATCCTCGTGATCTGCCTGGTAAGTTTTCACCAATCCTAAACCTAAATTTTATTTGAAGATTAACCAGGTTTTGTGTTCCAACGTCTAGGGTTTTGATTATGGGTTAATGAACTGTGGTTCGGTCTCAATTTCTATTTGTTCTTTCAGGTTATCCAATAGAAACACATTGGTACTTTTATTGCCGAAAACTTGACAGCCAAGTTACTCTTAACTCTCATAGTATTTGGAAACAAATCGGAGAAGAAACTGGTGTGTTAGATAAAAAGAATAATGATACATTAGTTAGTATCAAACGTCGGTTCACTATCATTGATCCTGAAGAAGGGCCTGACGATATTCTATTGTCAGAAGAAGACAAACCTCCACAATACAATTGGTTCATGGATGAATTTAGCCTCCCAATGACAGTTTCAGAGACTGATTGGGTTTTCTGCCATGTTTTCCGTAAGAAAATCAAACCTGGATCCAAATCTGAAGAAGAAGGAGAAAATGAAGAAGACGAAGCATAGCGTTTGGATCTTCATATAGAGAAAGATGAAAATGTTTTTCCGCAATGTCCTTCTCCACCTTAGCTTCTTATGATGTTTTATCATAATAATAATATTAATAATAATAATAATAAGAATAATAATAATAATAATAATAATAATAATAATAATAATAATAACAATAATAATAATAATAAATAATAATAATAATAATAATAATAAAAATAATAATAACTAAATTAAGATATGTGCCTTGCGCGGGGTGAGTGTTATATATACATACAATTTTATGTATTATTATTTATTTGAGTTTTTTTACTTATATTAAATTAGTGAAAGGTTAGTACATATATAACTAAATTGGTGCAGATATATAAATCAAAATAATCATTGTTATTTACAATCATTTTATGGTAAAGAAATCCAAATAAAATTTTGTATCTTTTATATTGTTTATAATTAAATTTAAATTATTTGAATATTGATGCATAGTATATTTTTAATATTAATATTTATTAAATAAAATTTTCCTATTCACATGGTTTTATGATTCTTTGTATTTTTATAACAAAAACATTGATAACAAAATATTAAATATGGAACTTTTAATATTTTTATTAATTTATAATCATTTTAACCAATTGAATGAAAATTTTGAGACTAAAATATGTATGCATTTTATATAATATATAATCTAATTTAAAGGATATTAATATATATAATCTAAAATTTATTAAAAACATCTTACTAATATAATTTTATGAACAGTATCTTGTTATAAATTAAAATTAATCCATCGATCACAAATTTTCAAAGTAATATTTTTAAAAAGTTTATTAATTTATATTCGCTTTTAAAATTCAAATTATAACATACATTAAAAAATTGCAATTTTTAATATTTGGTTGATTTGATTGTCTAATTTATTTTAATAATTTTAATATAAAACAAAAATGATTGAGGATGTATAAACTATTATCAAATCTTTATTATTTCAAATAATTAATTATCATATGTATTTTTATTATATTAGGTAATTTCGTATGTATTATTATCAAACACTAAAAGTAACTAAAACACAATAGCTATCGTATTAAGTAGTACTTAGTAAAATAATCATATAACTTTGAGTCTGTTTGTGCACATCCACAAATGGATCCAAATCCCGACATAACCCGATAGGATTATAGGAGCGTATGACCAATCCATGTGTCAAAAAGACCTGAAACTAGACCTAGGCGTCGACACAAGAGAAGGTCATTGCCCGGAGATCGATCTCGAGCAAGGAGCCCCATAGATCTCGGGGTCTATAACCTACGAGAGGGAAGATCATAAAATTCGGGCCAACAATAATTATTATAAAAGGACGCAGTAGTGGCCCTTAGGAGAATCAAAGGAAGAATAGGCTTCCGGCCTTTTTTTTATTTATATAAAATATCGATCAAAATATTTAATAAAATATTAAGTAGATTAGTGGTTAATGAAAGTGGAAGTTGAGATTTAGGTATTAGGTTCAATTCCTAACTACAACAATAGACATTTTTTATTAATTGTTTTCGGTCTATAAATATTTAGGGCCGACACGGAAGGAAGTGGAGAGAAGAGAGAGAATGCATTCGGAACCTAGCAATTGACCACAATAAACATCGACCTCGATTTCATCTATTTGTTCATAAACTTTAGCTTAGTCCATATGTATTCGATCATTCCTTGTAAGTTGTAACCATTTAGTGTTTCTATCTAGATATAGAAAAATTCTTAACTTATTTTTGATTAAATTATTGTGTTCTGACATTGCCCACAATCACTAACATATACCTAGCGTAGAGTTTAGGATTCACAATAGTCCACGTGAAACCAATAGTTTCTAATAAATCAAACTAAATCTCACATCAAATATAAACATATAAGAAATTTTTGGTCTTTTTGATTAAGGATTGCAACATCATCGGTGATCACTGCAATCGAGATTAAGAGTTCAGAGCAGGGATTGAAGCTCTCCCATCCATATTAATTTAAATGTACACGAACAACACAAGAATAAACCAAAAGAAAAACAAAATAATATAAAAATAAATCCAATGAATACAATTATTGTAAATGGTCAAGAAAACCCTAACCACATGAAGAATGAAAGGCGGGATGTGTTGTTTATCACTGGAAGAGAAGAAGGCTAGTTAAATATTTAGATATAATACTAGCTGAATGATGATGATGATACATAGCAAAATAAATTTTAATGAGATGTTTATTACCAGAGAGATTGGTAACGGCGTTGAAGACTGCAAGAGATGTACAAACATCTTTACCTCCTCCAGACATATGTCTTTTCCAGGAAGTAGCTTAGCAAACCCCTCCTTCATTATCTCAATTTCTATTCCAAATAAGAAAACCCTAAATTACTTTTTCCTACTTTAGCAGTAATACATTCAATGTCGGATTTTTCTATGTTTTTTATTGAGATAAGGACATGTTTATATATATATTGGAAGTTTATATTTTGGCATGTTCCCATATTCATACCGAGAGTATGTTATTCACCTTATATATTCGACATAAATGCCTTTTATATTAAAAATAAAACATCCTCCTATTCTATTAAAATAGAGTCATTCTTTTTATCTACTGATACAAGTTGTCATTTAAATTTGGACACTTTTTAGAGTGTTACAAATAATACAAGTCTTATAATTGATTAAACCGCATTACTTAAATTAAACCAACACAATTAATGTAACATGGCGCCTTAATATAAACTATCTTCAAAATACGGCAGATATCCATGTGTCTACCAAAAACACATATTTTCTCCTACAAATATGGAATGTTCTAAAAGAATATATATTATCAAAATATGGAATATGGAAATCTACTAATTATATTATTGTGGAAATTGTAATATACCATTTAGCATCTTATCAATTCCCTAAAAAAATGGAAATTTGATAATAATATGAAACCAATGGAAATCTACTCTATTAAAATAGAGTCTTTCTTTTTATCTACTAATCCAATTGTCATTTAAATTTGGACTCTTTCTAGAGTGTTACAACAAGCCATATAGTTAATTGAACCGCATTACTTAAATTAAACCGATGGTTATTTATGGGATATAGTCTTGGGCTTACTTTTGTTTTTAGGACAAATTATATGGTTTGATTTTTAGGCTTACTATTAAGGAAAAACTCCAAAAAACATTGAATAAAATTTCTATCTTAATGGATAAAAAATCAATTATTATTTCCAGGCCCAAATGTATTTAATATTTTTAACAAAACAAAATTGTCTATTATTAATCATTTATTTAAATCATGTACTTTAAAACATGTTATTGTATTTTTTGATTTTAAATAACAATCACTTTTTTGATAAATTTCAATGGTAACTGTTAAATAATTTATTGTTTTATTTTTCTTAAATAATTTACTGATTTAAAAAAAAATGTAAAGCAAAACCAAAATCAATTCTAAAAACTAAAACTCAAAACCAAAAGCTCAAAACGCATTGTTCTGGATAAAATTTTGTTATAGTTTTTGCTTTTGTTTATTTACAAAATAAGCTATTGCAAATTTTTGTCATCTTTTCAGTTTTAAATTAGATGTTCGATTATTTAAAATTTGTTCGTTGGTAATATCAGTTCAAACAAACTCAGCGGATCTAAAAATTAAAAACCCAAACAAAAGCTGAAAAACAAAAATAGAAACTTAAAAACTAACAACCAAAATCTAAAAATAAAAACTGAAACTAAAAACTAATGAAAAAAATCGTCACCACAAATTTTGATAAACTAATTTTATACCATAACATTCTTTAAATTAAGACATAACCCAATTATATAAATTTTAGTTATAAAAAATTTTCGCGCTTTCAAGCGCGTGTCAAAATCTAGTTATATATTAAAAGAGAAGCATTGTATAAATGCATTCATACCGTAACTGACACGTGTCGGTTTCACAATTATTTGACAACTAATACGTTCAGACACTAATTTTTAAATTCATTATTTAAAGTTTTTATACATTATTTTTAATTAATTCATTTTTCCTACATTTTAGCCATTTTATTAATAAATTAAAACTTTCTACGTGAAACTAATGAATAATATCTTTATTGTAAAAAAATTACAAAATTATTAAGATTCGCATCAACTAAAATGTTGCGATTAAAATGTTTGTAGAAATTGAAAGTTTCGTACTTTACCGAAGTTGGTTATGGTTGAGACTTCGGTACACAATAACAACAAATAAGGTGATTGATTATGAATTAAAGAAACTGAGGTGAAAAACACCACACGTAAAGTCTGATCTTTAGTTTAGTCAAATATTAACATTTTTATAAAAAAAAATATATCAGACCAAGAATTAGAAACAAAATCAAGTTGGTAGGAAAAATCAGAAATCAGAAAAGCTTCAAAAAGAAATAGAAATCACAAAATCGATTAAAAACAGAATAAAGATACCAAGCGAAGATGTCACTTTGTAATATATATTATTTTTATTGTTTACAGGTATAATTTGATTTTTTCATATGAAAAAAAATGTTATTAATTTCTAGGTTTGCTTCATTCTTACTTAAATTTATTTAAGAGTTTACTATCATGTGTTATTTTGAAAAAAAACATATTTTAAATCTTAATTAACGGTATATTCATATATTTATCATCACATTTATATACCTTTTTTAAGTCTAGCAGAAGTCTTTTCCGTCAATGATAAACTTTCATTTTCTCTAAAGCTATAAAGATTTTTTAACAGTTTCTTGTTAATTCATGTATATTAGTCAATATTGGGATTACTGGATTAAATATATAGCTTAAACGATGATATTTAGGAGGTTACCAAATTTCATGTTTATTAAAATTTCTAGCTGATCCGAGAAGAATTCCGTAGAAGTCTTCTACGTTAGTCTGTGTTACTTTTGAATTTGTGTAAAGTTCGATTTTTTGTGAACTAGACTAAGTTTTGTTTATTACTGAGAGTGGTATAATGTTTTTCGATATGAGTATAGATTTTTGATGTCTTAAATCAAAACAAAGAATGTCTTCACACAGTTAACTAATGTTATCGTGCAAATTAAAAAGAAATGAATTGGTTAACATAAACTAGAAATATTTCATCTTTTAAGATTTGAGCATAAACACAGTTAAATTATCATTTGATTTCACTTCTTCTCAAGTTCCTTAAACCTCTCAACATCAAATTGTATCTACATTCCACATACAAAGTTTTAATGATCAGCTCAATAAAAGACCTTATGCTCATGTACAATGAGTTATAACATTTAATTTACTTCATATAATTTTACTTGTCTCTAAACGGCTTTTTCTTTGTGGCGTATAGTATTATCAGCAAGTCACCATGAAAGAGTTTCTAACCGCAACTCTAACTGCACCCACCACACTCAGTTGTCTTGTCTCTGATCTCAGCTCTTTACTTTCACTATCTCTGCAACTTGCTTCCATCTGAACCCCAACAAAATATGTTGTCTGAAACCAAACATGGATAAAAGAACAACAGAGCAATATCAGATCACTGGAACTCTCAAATTCATTCTGTCATCTAAACCAACAAAAAAAAGGAACATTTATAAACTCTACCTCGTAGAATACTAAGGAATTGGTATCAAACCTACTTAGAAATCTACAATTCTGTCCCACCAATTCATTTCTCTTGTAACCTACAAGACATTGAAATAAATAAGAACACTGCCAAGATATACAAGAGGGTTAGGTGCTAATAAAACTAAAACAAGCAAAGCAATGAACTTTAATGGAAACTAATAAAGTAACAGCAACACAACAATTTTCAACACAACATTATTCAGAAAACAAAGGATCATATCAAGAGACAAATAATAAAGAATTTCACTATAAACTTAAGTAGATGACAATAACACAGAAACAGAGTAATCAAAACACACTTTCCACATCAAAAGTTCCAACTTTCTGATCAATATACTTTTTCCACATCTAAAGCCTCAAAATTTTCTCATCAAAAACACTTATATAGCTACGTCATACCTCTAGCATCACTCTCTAACAAATTAAATCAAATAAAATTTCTCTAAGATGAGAAGAGAGCAATACCACATCCATGCTTGTTGTCTCTGGATGGTGAATTCAGGGACTCGGGCAAAGGACAGCACAGATCTGGAGATGTGAGACCATGCTTGTCGTCGGGAAGTCACGGCAAGTTGTGAAGACGTGGTTTTCAAGCTAGTTGTGATGAGGTCACATACATAGTCAAAAAGGGGGAGACTGAAGATGCAGTTTACTGAGGTGTTATGTGTCAGTTCATGAAGTACTACAGGAGCTAGTACATGTGTGTATCATGAAGATCAGCTATGCTGGAGTTCATGGTTCTTGATGAACGTGGGCTTGCTGGGAATGGAAAAGGAAAGAAGATGTGTGTTTGAAGACATATGGACGTTTTCCATAAAGCAAAAGGAAGTTTGCTTGAAGATGAAGTTTTTCATTAAAGATATGGAAAGTAGCATTAAGTGTATTTGGAAGACTTGAAGAGCAAGTTCAAGACGTGGAGAACAAGCTGTTCTGGTCTTATATATTAAGGAAGACGTGCCTTATGAGAAAATAAACCTCACATAAAAGAAAGAGGGGTTTCATTGTATATTGGTGTGTGTTACTGCTTGGTGTCAATGCAGTGTCTGAAGCAGTTCTTCATGGAGTCCGATGTGGACTTAGTTTGGTGGCGTTAGAGTTGGCGTTTTGTGTGGTGGAGTTTCCATCGTGTGTAGCTCGTGGTGAGCTTTGTGTGTGCTTGGGTGATCAAGCGTTTGGTGTCATTGGTGTGCGTTTGGTGCTGACGTACTTGGTGAAGTACTTCCGAGATGTGGAAGATTGAAGCCTAGACTCAGGGGGAGTTTAGCATAGGCGTTTTTATTGAAGAGGTCTGTGAAGATTGCAGCTGTAGAAGACAGTGTGCTCTGGCGCGCCCAGATGGTGTTGTATGCATGAGTGCTTATACCTAATATTTATAGATTGCTTCTTAGAAAAGAGTGGTAAACACTAGTGTGTGTGTTTTACCATATAGCAATTGTAGATTGCTCCTTTATCTAAGTCAATAAAATCTGGACTGGGTCCCGGGTATGTAGGAAACGATCCCCGTTAACAAATTTGATGTGTCTTACTTTCTATACTATGTTTTTCGTCGCCTCATCTACATCAACAATTGGTATCAGAGCGGGTCAACTAAGTTACAAGTGAGATCATAGAGGATGAGAACGAAATCTGGTTCAGGAAGTGGAACAAACTTTGTATGAAGATCGATGAAGATGGTGTCATGCGATTTCTTCCTTGGTTTGGAAGGTGCTGATCTTCGAATTGGTTTTTGACCATGATGTGACTCATAGGGGGAGATTGAAGACGTGGTGTTCAAGCTAGTTGTGATGAGGTCACATACATAGTCAAAAAGGGGGAGATTGAAGATGCAGTTTACTGAGATGTTTTGTGTCAGTTTGTGAAGTACTACAGGAGGTAGTACATGTGTGTGTCATGAAGATGAGCTATGCTGGAGTTTGTGGTTCTTGATGAGCGTGGGCTTGCTGGGATTGGAAAAGGAAAGAAGATATGTGTTTGAAGACCTACGGATGTTTTCCATAAAGCAAAAGGAAGTTTGCTTGAAGATGAAGTTTTCCATTAAAGATGCATTAAGTGTATTTGGAAGACTTGAAGAGCAAGTTCAAGACATGGAGAACAAGTTCTGGTCTTATATATTTAGGAAGACGTGCCTTATGAGAAAACAGACCTCACAGAAAAGAAAGAGGGGTTTCATTGTATATTGGTGTGTTTTACTGCTTGGTGTCGAAGCAGTGTCTGAAGCAGTTCTTGATGGAGTCCGATGTGGACTTAGTTTGGTGGCGTTAGAGTTGGCGTTTTGTGTGGTGGAGTTTCCATCGTCTGTAGCTCGTGGTGAGCTTTGTGTGTGCTTGGGTGATCAAGCGTTTGGTGTCATTGGTGTGCGTTTGGTGCTGATGTATTTGGTGAAGTACTTCCGAGATGTGGAAGATTGAAGCCTAGACTAAAGGAAAGTTTAGCAAAGGCGGTTTTATTGAAGAGGTCTGTGAAGATTGCAACTGTAGAAGACAGTGTGCTCTGGCGCGCCCAGATGGTGTTGTATGCATGAGTGCTCATACCTAATCTTTATAGATTGCTTCTTAGAAAAGAGTGGTAAACACTAGTGTGTGTGTGTTTTACCATAAAGCAATTGTAGGTTGCTCCTTTATCTAAGTCAATAAAATCTGGACTGGGTCCCGAGGATGTAGGAAACGATCCTCGTTAACAAATTTGATGTGTCTTACTTTCTGTACTATGTTTTTCGTCGTCTCATCTACATCAACAATTGGTATTAGAGCGGGTCAACTAAGTTACAAGTGAGATCATGGAGGATGAGAACGAAATCAGGTTCAGGAAGTGGGACAAACTTTGTATGAAGATCGATGAAGATGGTGTCATGCGATTTCTTCCTTGGTTTGGAAGGTGCTAATCTTCGAATTGGTTTTTGACCATGATGTGACTCATAGGGGGAGATTGAAGACGTGGTTTTCAAGCTAGTTGTGATGAGATCACATACATAGTCAAAAAGGGGGAGATTGAAGATGCAGTTTACTGAGATGTTTTGTGTCAGTTTGTGAAGTACTACAGGAGGTAGTACATGTGTGTGTCATGAAGATGAGCTGGAGTTCGTGGTTCTTGATGAGCGTGGGCTTGCTGGGATTGGAAAAAGAAAGAAGATATGTGTTTGAAGACCTATGGACGTTTTCCATAAAGCAAAAGGAAGTTTGCTTGAAGATGAAGTTTTCTATTAAAGATGCATTAAGTGTATTTGGAAGACTTGAAGAGCAAGTTCAAGACATGGAGAACAAGTTCTGGTCNGAGGGGTTTCATTGTATATTGGTGTGTGTTACTGCTTTGTGTCGAAGCAGTGTCTGAAGCAGTTCTTGATGGAGTCCGATGTGGACTTAGTTTGGTGGCGTTAGAGTTGGCGTTTTGTGTGGTGGAGTTTCCATCATGTGTAGCTCGTGGTGAGCTTTGTGTGTGCTTGGGTGATCAAGCGTTTGGTGTCATTGGTGTGTGTTTGGTGCTGACGTAATTGGTGAAGTACTTCCGAGATGTGGAAGATTGAAGCCTAGACTCAGGGGGAGTTTAGCAAAAGTGGTTTTATTGAAGAGGTTTGTGAAGATTGCAGCTGTAGAAGATAATGTGCTCTAGCGCGCCCAGATGGTGTTGTATGCATGAGTGCTCATACCTAATCTTTATAGATTGCTTCTTAGAAAAGAGTGGTAAACACTAGTGTGTGTGTTATACCATATAGCAATTGTAGGTTGCTCCTTTATCTAAGTCAATAAAATCTGGATTGGGTCCCGGGGATGTAGGAAACGAACCCCGTTAACGAATTTGATGTGTCTTACTTTCTGTACTATGTTTTTCGTCGCCTCTCTACATTAACAATTGTTATTAGAGCGGGTCAACTAAGTTACATGTGAGATCATGGAGGATGAGAACGAAATCTGGTTCAGGAAGTGGGACAAACTTTGTATGAAGATCGATGAAGATGGTGTCATGCGATTTCTTCCTTGGTTTGGAAGGTGCTGATCTTCGAATTGGTTTTTGCCCATGATGTGACTCATAGGAGGAGATTGAAGACGTGGTTTTCAAGCTAGTTGTGATGAGGTCACATACATAGTCAAAAAGGGAGATATTGAAGATGCAGTTTACTGAGATGTTTTGTGTCAGTTTGTGAAGTACTACAGGAGGTAGTACATGTGTTTGTCATGAAGATGAGCTATGCTGGAGTTTGTGGTTCTTGATGAGCGTGGGCTTGGTGGGATTGGAAAAGGAAAGAAGATATGTGTTTGAAGACCTACGGACGTTTTCCATAAAGCAAAAGGAAGTTTGCTTGAAGATGAAGTTTTCTATTAAAGATGCATTAAGTGTATTTGGAAGACTTGAAAAGCAAGTTCAAGACATGGAGAACAAGTTCTGGTCTTATATATTAAGGAAGACTTGCCTTATGAGAAAACAGACCTCACAGAAAAGAAAGAGGGGTTTCATTGTATATTGGTGTGTGTTACTGCTTTGTGTCGAAGCAGTGTCTGAAGCAGTTCTTGATGGAGTCCGATGTGGACTTAGTTTGGTGGCGTTAGAGTTGGCGTTTTGTGTGGTGGAGTTTCCATCATGTGTAGCTCGTGGTGAGCTTTGTGTGTGCTTGCGTGATCAAGCGTTTGGTGTCATTGGTGTGCGTTTGGTGCTGACGTAATTGGTGAAGTACTTCCTATATGTGGAAGATTGAAGCCTAGACTCAGGGGAAGTTTAGCAAAGGCGGTTTTATGGAAGAAGTTTGTGAAGATTGCAGCTGTAGAAGACAGTGTGCTCTGGCGCGCCCAGATGGTGTTGTATGCATGAGTGCTCATACCTAATCTTTATAGATTGCTTCTTAAAAAAGAGTGGTAAACACTAGTGTGTGTGTTTTACCATATAGCAATTGTAGGTTTCTCCTTTATCTAAGTCAATAAAATCTGGACTGGGTCCCGGGGATGTAGGAAACGAACCCCGTTAACAAATTTGATGTGTCTTACTTTCTATACTATGTTTTTCGTCACCTCATCTACATCAACAATTGGTATCAGAGCGGGTCAACTAAGTTACAAGTGAGATCATGGAGGATGAGAACGAAATCTGGTTCAGGAAGTAGGACAAACTTTGTATGAAGATCGATGAAGATGGTGTCATGCGATTTCTTCCTTGGTTTGGAAGGTGCTGATCTTCGAATTGGTTTTTGACCATGATGTGACTCATAGGGGGAGATTGAAGATGTGGTTTTCAAGCTAGTTGTGATGAGGTCACATACATAGTCAAAAAGGGGGAGATTGAAGATGCAGTTTACTGAGATGTTTTGTGTCAGTTTGTGAAGTACTATAGGAGGTAGTACATGTGTGTGTCATGAAGATGAGCTATGCTGGAGTTTATGGTTCTTGATGAGCGTGGGCTTGCTGGGATTGGAAAAGGAAAGAAGATATGTGTTTGAAGACCTACGGACGTTTTCCATAAAGCAAAAGGAAGTTTGCTTGAAGATGAAG